GGCGTCCCCAACGCCACCAACACAACACACGGCGTCCCCAACGCCCTCAACACAACACACGGCGTCCCCAACGCCCTCAACACAACACACGGCGTCCCCAACGCCACTAACACAACACACGGCGTCCCCAACACAACACACGGCGTCCCCAACACAACACACGGCGTCCCCAACGCCCTCAACACAACACACGGCGTCCCCAACGCCCTCAACACAACACACGGCGTCCCCAACGCCACTAACACAACACACGGCGTCCCCAACGCCCTCAACACAACACACGGCGTCCCCAACGCCCTCAACACAACACACGGCGTCCCCCAACACCATTACCACCACAGGCATCTGCCTTGTGCCAGAGCGCATCAAAAGCTGCCGTAGCACCGTGGCTGCTGTTTCACCGTGGCTGCCGTATCACCGTGGCTGCCGTATCACCGTGGCTGCCGTATCACCGTGGCTGTTATGTCACTGTGGCTGCCATATCACCGTGGCTGCCGTATTACCGTGGCTGCCGTATCACCGTGGCTGCCGTATCACCGTGGCTGCCGTATTACCGTGGCTGCCGTATCACCGTGGCTGCCGTATTACCGTGGCTGCCGTATCACCGTGGGTTTCCATATCACCGTGGCTGTCATATCTCTGTGGCTGCCATATCACCATAGCTGCCATATTACCGTGTCTGCCGTATCACTGTGGGTGCCATATCGCCGTGGCTACCATATCATTCTGGCTGCCATATCACTGTTGCTACCATCTCACCGTGGCTGCCATATCCCCGTGGCTGCCATATCCCCGTGGCTACCATATCACTGTTGCTACCATCTCACCGTGGCTGCCATATCACCGTGGCTGCCATATCACCGTGGCTACCATATCACCGTGGCTGCCATATCACCGTGGCTACCATATCACCGTGGCTACCATATCACCGTGGCTGCCATATCACCGTTGCTACCATATCACCGTGGCTGCCATATCACCGTGGCTGCCATATCACCGTTGCTACCATATCACCGTTGCTACCATATCACCGTGGCTGCCATATCACCGTGGCTGCCATATCACCGTGGCTACCATATCACCGTGGCTACCATATCACTGTTGCTACCATCTCACCGTGGCTGCCATATCACCGTGGCTGCCATATCACCGTGGCTACCATATCACCGTGGCTGCGTGCTACCATATCACCGTGGCTACCATATCACCGTGGCTGCCATATCACCGTTGCTACCATATCACCGTGGCTGCCATATCACAGTGGCTGCCATATCACCGTTGCTACCATATCACCGTGGCTACCATATCACCGTGGCTGCCATATCACCGTGGCTGCCATATCACCGTGGCTGCCATATCACTGTGGCTGCCATATCACCGTGGCTACCATATCACCGTGGCTACCATATCACCGTGGCTGCCATATCACTGTGGCTGCCATATCACCGTGGCTGCCATATCACCGTAGCTGCCATATTTGTGTATTTCTCGGCAGTAAATGGGCGAGATGCCTCTGGCATGTGGGTGAGTGTTCTGATTGACGTTGATTTAATTGCCTCTAGCAGGTCGTCTGTTGCAATGTAATCTTTTGCGATCTGCACTACTGCAACAGACTCCTTAGTGCTGCCTCCTCCCACGGGAGGCCTCCCTGACCCAGGACAGTCACCATGCTCGCGTATGACTCTGGAGGCCGAGTTGATGCTATCTTGAGGTTATCTTGAGATGATTTCGGAGCTTTTTAGTGTCCCCGCGGCCCGGTCCTCGACCAGGCCTCCAACCCCAGGAAGCAGCCCGTGATAGCTGACTAACACCCAGGTACCTATTTTACTGCTAGGTAACAGGGGCATAGGGTGAAAGAAACATTGCCCATTGTTTCTCGCCGGCGCCTGGGATCGAACCCAGGACCACAGGATCACAAGTCCAGCGTGCTGTCCGCTCGGCCGACCGGCTCCCTATATGCTGATGTTGCTCTCACAAACACTGCATGTGCCTCTCCTTTGGTTGGCTTCGGGAGGGGTGAGCTGGCTGGCAGCGGCCTCTTCTGCCATCCCCTTAGGTGAAGTGACTGTCACCTTGCACTGGAGTATTTGTCCCTCCCTCCTGGCTTGGGGGGAGGTTGTAACTTATAGGGGACCAGGTTGTCCCCTATACCATGAGTCATGTCTAGGCAGATGCCGGGGGTGGGTGGGCAGGTGAAGGTGGGTGATTTTGTGGGGTACATTGGTACCCCACTTTGGTTTTTGGTACATTGCTTGTTTTCTCTTCTTGCTTCTGTGTTGGTTCGGGGGTCTTGAAGTGGGTAGAATGTAATTATGTGTTAATTGGCTGTTGACTTTTTTATGTGTAGGGCCTCGCTGATGTTGAGTACCCTGTTATCGTTGTATCTGTCGATAATTTCTGTGTTGCTTCTTAAGATTTCTATGGTAATGGTCTGGTTGTGTGGGAGATTATATGCTCCTTGATGGAGCCCTGTTATTTGTGCTCTATCAATCGGCTAGAAAGAGACTTTGAGACTTTGTTGTCTTGCCAATATACTGAGATCTTTGGGAGCTGACAGTCCCCAAGTGGGCATGTGAAGGCATGTGTGCGGCTAGTTTATTTTGTACCACATACACATAATGTGAGCACTATAAGTTTAGTGTACACCTTTTACTCATACTGTGAGTGGTAGTTTAGTGTGCACCTTTTACTCATACTGTGAGTGGTAGTTTAGTGTGCACCTTTTACTCATACTGTGAGTGGTAGTTTAGTGTGCACCTTTTACTCATACTGTGAGTGGTAGTTTAGTGTGCACCTTTTACTCATACTGTGAGTGGTAGTTTAGTGTGCACCTTTTACTCATACTGTGAGTGGTAGTTTAGTGTGCACCTTTTACTCATACTGTGAGTGGTAGTTTAGTGTGCACCTTTTACTCATCTTGTGAGCGGTAGTTTAGTGTGCACCTTTTACTCATACTGTGAGCGGTAGTTTAGTGTGCATCCCATACTCATCCTGTGAGCAGCAGTGCAAAAAGAATTACAGAGGGGTGCAATATTTTCCGTGGCGCAGTGGTAATACACTCACCCCGCGCTTAGCGAGCGATTTGGCCTGGGTTCATATCCTGGCCGGGGAGGACTGACTAGGCGCCAATCGTTAACTGTACGCGTGTGTTCACCCAGCAGTGATTGAATATCTGGTTGTTAAGGAACTGGCGGGTCGTATTCCTGGGAAAACTAGTGGGTAAGGCTTATTATGTGTGGGGGTTTTCTATTTTGCTTTCCCGACTGTAATGCGTACGTCGCCAATGTACATGTGGCAGACACTTCACGAAGCTGTCGGAATCAGCAGAGAAAATACGAGAGCAACCGTACAGGGTCTGGGAGCAAGGTCGAGTTAGAGTCCTTTAGGGTCTCTTCTCAGACTAGCCTCGCCTGGTCCTGATCCATGTCGGTCGTTGGAATCTCCTCAATGCTTGAAACACTTTAAGGGACTCCTAGGGTCCTCATCACATTTATAAATTAGTGAATAATAGGTAACTCGGTGTTGAAGACACTTGGAGCTGAAGGCTTGAGTAAATAGTTGGCAGTATTCAGAAGTGGCTCAACGGAAACACCGCATAAAGCTTAACAGTTGTTTATTTACTAACTTAACCACTAATACAAAGAGTGCTTGATATACTTTAGATTGGCGTCAGCAAGGCCATGGTTGCATTACCGAGACTCTTGACGTCTGGCTAATCGATTCGGATCCACTCGTGGAGAAACACTTAACTTAACACAATTGACAGCCAACCATTAACACGGCAAACCTAACTGCCGGTATGCAACAGGATTACAAGAGTTCCAGCCGGATACTCGGGTAATGATGATGCGCAATAAATCACAATTGGCACTGTCAATTGGACTGGCAATAATCATGCACAGTATTTATATCACACAATAACTAAATGTGTGGTGTATGTGAAACTCACATTCACAGACGAACTTAATGTCGTGATACCACACACATAAACACGCATACACCGTCGGGTGTCTCCACCTATACCTGTACTCACCTATATGTACTCACCTATATGTGCTTGCAGGATCGAGCATTGACTCTTGGATCCCGCCTTTCTAGCTATCGGTTGTTTACAGCAATGACTCCTGTCCCATTTCCCTATCATACCTAGTTTTAAAAGTATGAATAGTATTTGCTTCCACAACCTGTTCCCCAAGTGCATTCCATTTTTCTACTACTCTCACGCTAAAAGAAAACTTCCTAACATCTCTGTGACTCATCTGAGTTTCCAGTTTCCACCCATGTCCCCTCGTTCTGTTATTATTACGTGTGAACATTTGATCTATTTCCACTTTGTCAATTCCCCTGAGTATTTTATATGTCCCTATCATATCTCCTCTCTCCCTTCTTTTCTCTAGTGTCGTAAGGTTCAGTTCCTTCAGCCGCTCTTCATATCCCATCCCTCGTAGCTCTGGGACAAGCCTCGTCGCAAACCTCTGAACCTTCTCCAGTTTCTTTATGTGTTTCTTCAGGTGGGGGCTCCATGATGGCGCGGCATACTCTAAGACGGGTCTCACGTAGGCAGTGTAAAGCGCCCTAAAAGCTTCCTCATTTAGGTTTCTGAATGAAGTTCTAATTTTCGCCAGTGTAGAGTACGCTGCTGTCGTTATCCTATTTATATGTGCCTCAGGAGTTAGATTAGGTGTCACATCCACTCCCAGGTCTCTTTCTCGAATCGTTACAGGTAGGCTGTTCCCCTTCATTGTGTACTGTCCCTTTGGTCTCCTGTCACCTGATCCCATTTCCATAACTTTACATTTACTGGTGTTAAACTCCAGTAGCCATTTCTCTGACCATCTCTGTAGCCTGTTTAAGTCCTCTTGGAGGATCCTACAATCCTCGTCTGTCACAACTCTTCTCATTAATTTTGCGTCATCTGCAAACATTGACATGTATGATTCCACTCCTGTAAACATATCATTTACGTAAATTAGAAAGAGGATAGAGGAAAGAGGATACCTGTGTCAGGTATGAGAGGGTGAGAACTGTGGTTGACCACTCAGATCAACACAGACAGACACAATAATACAATAACAAGATCTTGTACTTATAGGTATGGCTACCTCTCTTATTCACTCACTCATGCATATTCATGCAAAAACTCTTAGGTGGCCTTACAGCTGGTTTCGCTCGTTCTGACGTGAGACCATCGACGACAGGCTTTCCCAACAAACCGTATTTGACACGGAGGGGACTCGCAGGAGGGCGCGCTGTATGTCTAACAGACACACGTACACACTTGATGGCACTGGCGGTGAGCAAGGTGTGACCGGGTGATGACGTCACGTAGTACAGTGAGGCAGGGCGGGTGGCGGATGGAGGCTAGCTACACACTCTGTACAGTGACGGCTGGTGGCTGCAGGTTTTATGGTACCAAGCGGTACACTTCGGCAAGTCACTCACAGATTTACTTAGGCGGCGGTACTACCATAATTCTTTCTAAGTCACTCACAACGATCTCAATTTGTCACCAGGGGTTACCTGATACCTGTCTGTTTCGCTCTGGTGATTTGTCACTAGGCTTCTGAACAATATAGTCACAATTGCGATTCCGGGCGAGCGTTGGTATATCGAAAAGACGCTGAGTTTAACTGTAGGGTGAGGAATAGACGGTTTTCTTCTGTCTATTGGCCGATAGACAGAACAGAACACGTCCTCTATGTACGGGTTTCCTCACGTGAATACCCTTGCAAACAGCTGCAGGGCTCCTCGTGGGCACAAACACAAGGGGTTACAATTGACCAATGGCATCACAGCAAAAGAGTGGGAACCAATCATATTGATCGTTCCCTGGTCAGTAACCGAGGTGACGTCATGAACACGTCACGACCATGTCACAGTAGTTATTCTCCATCGCTCCGGTTCAGGCTGACCCCAGAGGTCAGATCTGTCGCCTTCCCTGTATCTAATTTACCCTTGAGCATACAGTGGCCTCCGTATTTTATAAGTATTCCTGGTTATGTGGGCATCCTGGGGACACCCAACATGACAGATTACCATCCAGGGTTAACAGAGATAGGGCTTGTGCACGAGATCGGTGCACTGTGCACTGCAATGAACCATTCAAGTCAGCTGTGGGATAATCTTGAGAGACCATCCTCTCACACTATGAGCCACTGGAAAGGAAAGCTCTCAGCCAGTTAACAGGAGTCAGCAGTCGTCTGTTCCTAGACGTACCTGTGTAAAAAAAGGTATTTATCAGAACTCATCGGAGATTATTACATCCACAGATACATCTATCCTGTTCACCTCATAATTATAATGTCAGCTAGTTACTGAGATTGTTCCATTTCATTAGTTATGAACTTACAATTTAACGTTATAAATTCATGGTAGATATTTTAGCAAATACTTAGCTGGTTTAGCTATGTTAAACCTAAGCTAAAGCTGGTTTAGCTTTAGCTAACGTTATAAATTCATGGTAGATATTTTAGCAAATACTTAGCTGGTTTAGCTATGGAGGTATTACAGGGGTCATAGGAAAGTTGTTGTATATTATTATTTATCTGCGCACTACACCGCTTGTTCCTTAATCTAATGTCATTGATCTACTAGAAGGATTTCTAATATTTAATTTAAGTAAAAAGATGGTTTGCCAAAATCCTGGACTATTCAGGAGTAAAGGATCCTTGATGGTTGGTTACTAATGTGTTGGGAGACCCATAATAAGCCTCCAGTGGCTTATAAGTAAATCTGAACCAGCTGTGTCTGGGTACAAGAGATGGGATGAATAACCCAGCGTGTTTTCTTCCTATTGGGGAGTGTTGTACATGCTGCTATGAATACTAGCAGTGACAGTCCAGCAGAATTTTTTTTTGGGGGGGGGGGACGGAAAATAGACAGTCCAACGGAACTTTTTTTTACCGCGGAAAATAGACAGTCCAGCAGAACTTTTTCTTTTAGTCCCAGAAAATAGCCAACATATGGACCCTTTTCTTTAGCCCCGGAAAATAGACAACGTATGAGCCGTTTTTTCAGAGTATTATTCTGTCACATCCTTTAAAGACTAAATTATTCCAGTGTTCATATAATCATAAAAGTTTGTTAAGAAAAATTCAGGGGGCAAAGTCCACTCTCATCTTACTGAGAATAAACTCTACGTGTCAATTTTTGTTTGTTTTCAAAATTACTCATTTGGATTTAAAGAGTTCTTATGGGAAAAATTTGAGGCGAAAGAGGACGCTATGGTCCTAAAGGCTTCTAAAGGAAGAAATTCAATATTTTTCAGAGTTCAGTTTTATGAAAATATTTCAGAGTTCATATAATCATAGGAGTTTATTTACGAGTTTATGACCCAAATTTGAAAAAAGGCTATTTTCAGTGAATATTGTCATAGAAGTTTTGTTTAGGAAAATAGATGTCTTAACAATAAGTTTTAGTTTTTAAATCCATTTACGGCTGTTTCACCTGTAAAAGATCGAAATTGAACAAAGACCATTTGAAGACTGATTTTCTACAGAGTCCATTTAAGACCCAAAATATGACAGAGACCATTGTAGACCGAAACTGAACAGAGTCCAGTACATAAAGTCAAATTAGTTGAGTCCAGTTGTAGACAGAAATTCGTCAGACCATTTGCAGACCGAAATAAGACAGAGTTCAGCTGTAAAACCGAAATTTAACAGAGTGCCATAATGACTGAAAATTAATCAAAGTCCAATAAATGATCAAAATTAGTCAGAGTCTCGTTCATGGCCGAAAATTAGACAGAGTCCGTTAGAAGACTGAAATTTGACACTTTGAGAGACCACTTTGAGACCAAAATATTTCAGAGTTTTACTTATACCTGCGTTCTTATAGTTCTTATAGAGAAAATTTAAATAGTATCAGAGTCCAGTTGAGACCAAAAAAATTAACTGAGACCCTTTTAGGACCAAAATTTGTTAGAGACCACATTTTTAAATGAGTAGTTTCGCTACTAACAGCCCAATTTTAGCCCAGTTTAAGACGGTCATTTTTCGTACGTAGTAAAATAGATCAACGAAGTTACCAAACTCTAGCTCCTGCCCCCCCTTAACCCCCTCTCTCACCTCCATTAATACCTATTCAATTTCCCTAAAATTTTAATCAGTCATATTTCAAACGTAGTAAATCAAATCGAGTCAGAAAGTAAGTTCTAGCTCCTGTTCCAGCCTTACTTTATCCAGGTAACTTCTTTACTTACAGTCCAATCCCCCCTGAAATTTTAAACAGTCATATTTCAAAAGTAGTAAATCAAATCAAAGCAATTACCAAACTCTAGCTCCTGTGTCCCCACCTTTCCTCACTCGCGTATCTTCTTTAGTTTCTAACCAAATCCCTTGAGATTTTAAACATAGCTAAAATACAATAATTTAGTTACTGAGCTCCAGCTCCTGCCCCCAATCGTATTTCCTCCCTCATATCTTCTTTAGTATCAAATCAAATCTTCTGAGATATATGACTCCCGTATTTCAGACATAGTAAAATAGATCCAAACAATTACCAAGCTCCAACTCTCGTTCCCCACATTAGTTCATTTGTACAAGCTCCTTTGTACCAGACCAATTTTCTCGAAATTTAAAGCACATACTTCTTACTGAGTAAATAATTAGATTTATATAAATTGTTCTTATTCCTTGACCTTTGACCTAACCTTTCAGATATAGTTTATTGTGTTGGACATAGTATCCTTAACCTAACTTTTTAAATATAGTTTGTATTTATCCTCTTTGTGTATTTTTGGACCTATGATGTTTATACAGTTCTCTCTAATTGTGCCTACGGCACTCCTGCTCGTCACTGCTTCTATTCTGCATTTTCTTCCATATCGTTCACGCCAGTATGTTGCTATTTTACTGTGCAGATTTGGGACCTGGCCTTCCAGTATTTTCCACGTGTATATTATTTGATATCTTTCCCGTCGTCTTTCTACCGAGCACATTTGGAGAGCTTTAAGACGATCCCTAAAATTTTGATGCTTTATCTCGTTTATATATCCCGTATATGTTCTCTGTTCTCCCTCTATTTCAGTAATCTCTCCTGCTCTGAAAGGGGAAGTGAGTACTGAGCTACTGCTCAGTAGACGGACAGCACAAATGATTTGAAGAGTACAACCATTGTGATGGGATCCCTGGATTTGATTAGGGGTTTGATGAGATTTGATGAGGTTTAGGTTAGGTTAGATAAGTTAGGTTAGGTTGGGTAAGTTATGTTTGGTTAGGTTAAGTAAGTTACGTTAAGTTATGTTAGATAAGTTAAGTTAGGTTAGGTTAGTTAAGTTAGGTTATGTTATACAAGTTAAGTGAGGATAGGTAAGTTGTGGTTAGGTTAGGGAAGTTATGTTAAGTTAGGATAGGTAAGTTGTGGTTAGGTTAGGTTAGGGAAGTTATGTTAAGTTAGGATAGGTTAGGTAAGTTACATAAGGATAAGTTAAGTTAGGTTAGGTAAGTTGCATTAAGTTAGGTTAGGTAAGTTGCATTAAGTTAGGTTAGGTAAGTTGCATTAAGTTAGGTTAGGTTAGGCAAGTTAGGTTAGGTTAGATAAGTTAGATTAAGCTAGGGAGGTTATGTTAGGTTAGGTTAGTTTAGTTAGGTTAGGTTATGTAAGTTAAGTTTAGTAAGGTAAGGTAAATTACGTTAAGTTAGGATAGGTTAGGTAAGTTATGTCAGGTTAGGTAGGTTAGGTTAGGTTAGTTAGGTTAGTTAAGTTAGGTTAGGTAAGTTTGATTAGGTAAGTTAAGTTAGGTTAGGTAAGTTTGATTAGGTAAGTTACATCAGGTACGGGAGGAATTGGTTAGAATAAGTTAGGTTAGGTTAGATATATATTTAAAACAAGTGTAAGTTTGATATGAAAAGCTAAACAAGTTCCATTTTGGTGAGAGATTTTATGCCTGAAGATGTCATAGAGAACAAAATTGATGGACGAAGGTGAGTTAGAGATTACCTTTGATGAGTCTGAGAATATCTTTTGATGTCGTAGAGAATAACTTTGATGAATGCAGATACCTTAGAAAGATTCTCTGATGAACGAATGTGAGTTAGATATTAACTCTGATGACTGAAATTACCTCTGATGATTCTGAGAATAACTTTTGATATGACTGAGAATAACTTTGAGGACATGAGTAGTATTTTGTTGACTCTGAGAATAACTTTTGACATCTCTGAGTGCGTTATTGATGTATTTGAGTGTGTCTTTCATGTCTTGAAGAATAACTTTGGTGTCTCTGAGTGTGTCCTTGACTATATTTCTTACTCCACGAAGTACACTGGTAATTACGAAAGTATTGAAAGAAGATTGATTTTAATATTTTTCTTTCTCAAAGAAGTATACTGTTAATTATGAAAGTGCTGAATGAAGTTACATTTTGACTATTTTTTAGTTGAGGAAAGACAAGAAAATATGATGAAAGTGACTATTTTTGTGCTCCCTGAAGTATAATGTCAGTTAAGAACAGCAATGAAAGATATCTTTGGCTATATTTTCTTACTTGACAAAACATAATGGCCGTTAAGAAAGTGTTGAACATGGTTACTTTTAGTTGAATGACGATGGATAAAGTTAGCTATGAACTGTGTTGGAAAGTTTCTTGACTGTTTTTTAACTAAGAGAAAAAGGTTATTTTAGATAAGAACAGTATTGAACAAGGTTAATCCTGACTATTTTCTGCTAATTGACGAATATTTTAGTTAAAAAATGATGAACGTGACTATTTGAAGTTGACTGACGATGGGAAGAGAATTACATTGACGGAGTTTTGCAAATAAAACTGGGTGATTAACTTAATTTGTTTGCGGAACTGTTATGCTGTTGATATTATTTGACAAAAGAAAAGTTACTGAACAGAAGAAATAATTTGTTTACAAGAAACAAAGAACATGAAAAGTGAAGAATATGTAAGGGAATGAACACAGTGAACATACGAGGAGGGTGACAAAGAACATAGAGAACGTGCTAAGAACACTGAAAAAATGATAAGAACATGATTTGAGCTTGCAGAGAACATGGAGAATATGACAAAGAAAATAGATAACATGAGGGGGAATGTGTAGAGAACATAAACGAGTGAGATGAACACATTAAATATGAAGGGGAACATGAACTTGAAGAGAATATGAAAACATGACAAAGAATAGAGAATGTAATAAAGAACATAGAAAACATGTAAGAAAAGCTGATGAACGCAGTGAACATGAGGGGAATATGAACTTGCAGAGAACATGACAAAAAAACACAGAACATGAACGAGAATGAACATTGAGAACACGACAAAGAACACAGAAAACATGGAGAATATGACAAAGAACATAGAAAAATTGGAGAATCGGGTGAATTTCTTTTAAATTTTGGGGTGGGAGGGATGTTTGGGTGAAGTTGAGGAATAGGTAAGATGCGCGGGAGAATGGAGGGGGGGTAAGGGTATTAGGTATTGAGGAAGATAAGGGGGAAGGTAAGGGGTGTGGGGATATAAGGGCAAAAGGGGAGTTGGGAAAGGTAAGGGAAGGGGGGGTGAGGTAAGGGGTGGGGGAGGTAAGGGAAGGAAATGATAAGGTGTGATTTGATGGTGTGATTATTACATAGCTGAGTAAACAAAAAGGTATTGAATGTAAGGTGCGATCTGACTGTGTGATGTTTATTACTGTGTGAATATTAGCTCGTTAGTGATTATTTACATCGCTTGAGTAAGAAAAAGGGTGTTACGGACTCATCGCCCTTGTCAGGGGGTAGAGTGGCAGTTCCAGCGCCATCTAAGAGTCCGCACCCGAACTCCCCGGGAATAGTAGGTAATGTGGACAATGCCATCTGGAGGTGGTTATCTAGTACCTGCAAATGGCTAAAGATTCCTGCCTTGGTCAGCCAGAGGTGTCGTTGTGAGTGACCTCTGGTGAGGTGACGCCTCAAGACCAGCACCACCTAGTGTGTGCTACAGAGCACAATGTCAACGCCCCAGTGGGTTAGTGGTATTTCCTAGTTCACCAGTATTGGCTAGGTCATTTTTAACGTTTTATGTCCACAGAGGTGACGTCTGGGGGCAGCGGTACTGGAGATGTCAATTCATCTTGTGCAGTCCACAGTCTTCCTACATGGTCCTGGAAACGAACAAATAAGCCGCCGCCGATGAAGCAGTGTGGTAGCTGCTAGTGCTTTAGTGTTGAAAAAGATCGGCGTACCTTTGGGACTGGCTTAGGGGAGGGACTGACGACAGGGAGGTGCCTGTTGTGTAGTGCTGCTAGCTGGTCGCTAGAGACTGCTGCCAGGGGATTGCTACCCCTGGTTTGGATTATGTCCCCGCTCAGCGTGTACTCACCTAGTTGTACTCGCCTAGTTGTGTTTGCGGGGGTTGAGCTCTGGCTCTTTGGTCCCGCCTCTCAACCGTCAATCAACAGGTCGATCAACAATGTGGCTGAGGTACTGTGCCAGCGAGTAGCTGGAGAGCGGTCGTTGGGGTACAGGCACCTCGTGACACTGTCAGTGGGCTGACCCACGTACAGGTGAACTCGCCGGTGTTCTTCCCAGTAAGGTTGGATACGCTACTGGACAGTGAAGAAATACTGGGGATTGATGAACTCTGCACGTGAGCACGTTTGATATCCTGAGCGAAAGGATTGTACATAGGTGTAGAAATAGCCTATCGGTTCTTTATATATTATTTATGGTGACGGTGTACATATATATATACATAACGGTGGTGGAAAGATATTTAATACATTGATGAAAAAGTGTTTTGTTCATCCCCTCCTTTTTTTATGCACTACATAGCCACTTTCTTGAAAGCGTACTACCGACTTGGGGTCGGATACTATCATTTTCGTTCTACAATCAAAGAACCCGTTTACGACCCATAGTGGCTGTAGCAAAGGGTATTAAAGGACAGGATGTTTACTTTTATAGACTGGAGCGCATCTTGACCTGAAATATTTGTTTGATGATCTAAGGCGGAGGACGGAAGTTGAAGCTCTGTTAATTTCTTGATTTATTTTACTACGTTAGAAATATAGTGAACTTAAATCTCAGGGGATTTGGACTGACAGTAATGAATTTATCAGAATGAACTAGGACATAGGACAAGAGCTGAAACTTGGTAACTGCATTGGATTATTCACTACATTTGAAAAATGTAGTGAATTCACTACATATGTTTTAAATTTTTAAGGTATTTGGTTAAAAACTAAAGATGATACTGGAGGCCACTAAGGTGGGGACAGGAAGCTGGAGCTCGGTAATTGTTTGGATCTATTGTTGTATGTCTGAAATACAGCGGGTTTAAATTTCAGGGACATTGATTAGAAACTAAAGAAGATACGAGGGGGGGGGGGACTAAGGCGGGAACGGGAGCTAGAGCTTTGTGTTAAATTGTCGTATTGTTCTATGTCTGAAATAGTGAGTTTAAATTTCAGGGAAATTGCTCTGTTAGTATTGAATTTACGAGATGGGAATAATCAAGACTAAATTATTGTATTTTACTGCCTTTGAAATACATAGGTTTAAATTTTAGGGAAATTTCTATATAACTTACGCAGTCTGAGGGGCCCCTGAACGAGAATAATAACTTTAGCGTGCCCTTGAGTGAGCGTTTTGGCAGTTTTTATTATTAGCGATACTGTTTGGGCGAATAGTGGGATTAAAAAACTTGTTTATAACTTGTGTAAACTAACATTAGATGAATAAATAAAAATATAAATAAATAAATACGTCTTATTAAAGCTTATTGAATATATAAATTATTACGGTGGTGAACGCTGGCAATGACTGACGGACGGCGAATAGGTAGTGTAATGTCAGGTGTTGAATGCCTCGGGCCAGGTAGCCGGCGGCAGCTTAGGTATTGAGGGTTTTAGGCCTGGGGCAACTTTAGTATAGAAGGTCATATTGAAATGTCTCGGTTGATTTGTGTACAACTGATCTGATGACTCGTTTTGGGGTAAAGAAACCAACATTACGACGTCTGAAATATAAATAGCTGTACGGAAATATGAATGATGAAAGACAGGGGTAAGGTCTGAAACAGGTAGGGGGGGGGGGGTTAAGGTAACAGGTAGAGAGTGGGTAGGGGGCAGACCTGATATTATGGTGACACTAAGGTAAGATTGTCGGAAAATCCAACACCATTTAATAATATCATACAGGCAGATAATATTGCTGTATTGTATAAACAAGTTAACCCATAGAAAATGTAACTTGTAGTGGAATTTCCGTCTATAGAAAACGGGATATCATTATCACATACTATTATAAATTCACCACCTATTATGGTGGGAATTATTCTTAAATACATTAGTCTTTGGACTTTACCATCATAAAACCATCTCATATAAATTAACTTAATTATCAGAATTAAAATAGAGTAAATGTGACCCTTCTATCACTTACTGTCATCTGGACAATGTAGGCCAGTAGCGTCAGTGAGGAGGGAGTGGTCAGCCATTGTTATTGTTGTTAAGACCACAGAGTCGTGGAGCAAATTCGGCTCCTATAAATTCTCTTGGACGAAGTGTTATGGAAGATCAGAGTAGTGATCTGCCATCATCAACACGCTGTCATCAATCTCAAGGGTAGTGTCTCTCCGAAACCCGTTTATCTAATCATTTTTGGCCATTAATGTCAGTAGATAGGGCGTACCGGTTAGAACACGAATGATCGACTCAAACAAGGTAATTAAGCCTAGGTCTTTATGGTTCCTTGTACAGTGTTTTCTCTGATATAGCTGTCATATATCAGGATTCTGGCTTTACAGCTAGCGCCCTTTTGACAGGTCAAGACGAGGAAGCATGCTTTGTGTACCAGTTACTGGGTGATGGCAGCTACCTCAAAGAGGATAATTTGGTGTCTACATCCTGGTTATACCTGGTGGACTAAGGCCTGCTGTACAATAAGATAAGGAACCTCTTCAATGTTTAACAATATATGTAGTTTAATACTGTAGTTTGATTGGCTGCATATATATAAATTCAATATAAACCCCCCCTAATGTGTAGAGGATCGATTTGTGAGATTATTGCAGAAATACAGTCCACTTATCATTATACCAATTGCTATCGAAGTATACAAATTAACGTAAATATATATTCTATATAAATTCATATAAATTAAATAAATATAAATCTCACAGGTCGGTTCCCATAAAGATTACGGCAGTGACACCTGTTGGGGGGGGGGGTGTAAGGTAGGAACAGGTGACGTGGGGAAGGGATGGGGAGGACGGGTAATTAGCGCCATCAGATGTAGCGGGGGAACTTTAGTTGCTTAAATAGACATATACTTGCTGGTAAGAAAAAACGGCAACTTTTTACGGGCTCACCATATCCCGTGCTACATGGACACTTCGTCCTGAGTAGCTAAATCTAAAACAACAACATTGTTGGTAAGTATAAATTTACAGTCTAAAAGTATAAGTAAACAGTCTAAAATATCTGTTTGTAACTGTAGAGTTTATTCTCAATAAGAAGGGAAGCGGACTTTTTCTTAACGAACTTCTTTACTTAGAAATTACTTTTCTCATGGGAACGCTTAACAAACTTTTATGAACACTATATCCGAAAATGGTCTTTGAAAAGTTTCGGTCTTTAACTCAGAAAAATTTACCTGGAACTCCCTACAGTCTAGCGGCCTCTTCTCTAATTTAACTGGAAACCCCCACGGTCCAGCGACCCTCATCCTTCTAAAAAAAATAACAAGAAAAGTTCCACTGGAGTTTACTCCCAACTACTGCTATGGCGGTGTTAACTCACGGGATGAGTGGCGCTGTGGGCCAATAAACTCGCCTCTCCGGCCAAAATTAAATTAACGTGACGTCCCGGTCCTTCATCGTGACGCACCGTTCCGTCATTATAACGCACCGTTCCGTCACCGTCACAGGCCAGAGTGTCAGAGACGAGCCGGGGCGTCACTGCTCGTGGCGTCAGGACAAGGTCGGTGAGCGGGGAGCCCCCCAGCGCAAGGTCGACTGACAGTACCAGTATCTAATGAAGATCTCACCGACCTCACAAATTCACAAAGACCTGAAAGTCGTAGCATTAAATATTATGATAGATATCGTGAGGAGACATTCACATATGGGACTAATAGAACAAGAACCCGGCAATGTGATGTTATAGTGGCCAGAATACGCCTGGGATATAGACGTATCTGGCAGCTTATTCAAAACCCAAATGTCAAGTACACAATGTGTCAACTTTGTGAAAGGGAAAACATGCACTCTATTGAAAATTATATCGTAGAATGTCACATATTGATCGACTTTCGCCTTCCTAGGCTAAGGTATGATGAACTTTTTAATTACTATATGAGTACTGTAACACTTGATGATATATTGGACTTGTACCCAAGATTGACCATGTAATGTATCAATTATACAATGTATGTATGTGATGTAACTATATAACCTGAGCTGGTAAATACAACTTAATCACCTTCAGTGATTAAGTGCTAAATTGCACAGTAGTTCCTTTATTAGCTATCTCACCCTGTCTGAGTAAAAGAGACATATGTATGTGAATGCATGTGTGTGTATATATGTGTATATGTATATGTACGTATGTGTGTGTATATGTATGTGTATAAAGTATATATGGAAGCTGATCATAATTACATTTCACCTTTGTAAATGCACATTAATGACACTATGTAAAAGACACATAAAACACTTTATGTAGGGCATACGTAAATCTGTGTATCTATGTATTTGCGTATGTAGGTTAGCTTAGCATTTTAAAAGTACCGAATCACCTTCTGTGGTTGAGTGTTCAATAAACCCCTGAACTATATGTTTAGCACATCTCTAACCCTGTCCATGGAGGACAGAAGAAAATGTATATATGTTGGTTAGCATTGTAAATGTGTGGCCACGTCTGTGGTAGAAAAACACAAGTACCAGTACCGGCGGGTAACCTCGACGTCCCCCACACAGCCACCGTCATCATAGTTTCACTGTTAATAACACATTTTCGCTGGCTTTCACCTTCGGCTGTGTCGACCTAATTCTTGCTATATTGGTCAGTACCAAAATGTTGGTGGCATCATACAACCTTGACCAGGTGGGTTGTAGCCAGGCAGGTTGTAGCCAGGTGGGTTGTAGCCAGGCAGGTTGTAGCCAGGTGGGTTGTAGCCAGGAGGGTTGTAGCCAGGTGGGTTGTGGCCAGGTGGGTTGTAGCCAGGTGGGTTGTAACCAGGCAGGTTGTAGCCAGGTGGGTTGTAGCCAGGTGGGTTGTAGCCAGGAGGGTTGTAGCCAGGTGGGTTGTAGCCAGGCGGGTTGTAGCCAGGTGGGTTGTAGTCGGGTGGGTTGTAGCCAGGAGGGTTGTAGCCAGGCAGGTTGTAGCCAGGCGGGTTGTAGTCAGGTGGGTTGTAACCAGGCGGGTTGTAGCCAGGAGGGTTGTAGCCAGGCAAGTTGTAGCCAGGAGGGTTGTAGCCAGGTGGGTTGTAGCCAGGCAGGTTGTAGCCAGGTGGGTTGTAGTCAGGTGGGTTGTAGCCAGGAGGGTTGTAGCCTGGTGGGTTGTAGCCAGGCGGGATGTAGCCAGGCGGGATGTAGCCAGGTGGGTTGTAGCCAGGAGGGTTGTAGTCAGGAGGGTTGTAGCCAGGTGGGTTGTAGCCAGGTGGGTTGTAGCCAGGCAGGTTGTAATCAGGCAGGTTGTACCCAGGTGGGTTGTAGCCAGGAGGGTTGTAGCCAGGCGGGTTGTAGCCAGGTGGGTTGTAGCCAGGTAGGTTGTAGCCAGGTGGGTTGTAGCCAGGCGGGTTGTAGCCAGGAGGGTTGTAGCCAGGCAGGTTGTAGCCAGGTGGGTTGTAGCCAGGAGGGTAGTATCCAGGCAGGTTGTAACCAGGCAGGTTGTAGCCAGGCGGGTTGTAGCCAGGCGGGTTGTAGCCAGGCGGGTTGTAGCCAGGAGGGTTGTAGCCAGGAGGGTTGTAGCCAGGTGGGTTGTAGCCAGGAGGGTTGTAGCCAGGAGGGTTGTAGCCAGGTGGGTTGTAGCCAGGAGGGTTGTAGCCAGGAGGGTTGTAGCCAGGTGGGTTGTAGCCAGGAGGGTTGTAGCCAGGCGGGTTGTAGCCAGGTGGGTTGTTGCCAGGCGTGCTGTAGCCAGGCGGGTTGTAGCCAGGCGGGTTGTAGCCAGGCGTGCTGTAGCCAGGTGGACTGTAGCCAGGAGGGTTGTAGCCTGGTGGGTTGTAGCCAGGCGGGCTGTAGCCTGGTGGGTTGTAGCCAGGCGGGCTGTAGCCAGGTGGGTTGTAGCCAGGCGTGCTGTAGCCAGGTGGGTTGTAGCCAGGAGGGTTGTAGCCAGGAGGGTTGTAGCCAGGTGGGTTGTAGCCAGGAGGGTTGTAGCCAGGTGGGTTGTAGCCAGGAGGGTTGTAGCCAGGTGGGTTGTAGCCAGGAGAGTTGTAGCCAGGTGGGTTGTAGCCAGGCGTGCTGTAGCCAGGTGGGGTGTAGCCAGGAGGGTTGTAGCCAGGAGGGTTGTAGCCAGGAGGGTTGTAGCCTGGTGGGTTGTAGCCAGGCGGGCTGTAGCCAGGTGGGTTGTAGCCAGGAGGGTTGTAGCCAGGAGGGTTGTAGCCAGGTGGGTTGTAGCCAGGTGGGTTGTAGCCAGGTGGGTTGTAGCCAGGTGGGTTGTAGCCAGGAGGGTTGTAGCCAGGAGGGTTGTAGCCAGGCGGGTTGTAGCCAGGCGGGTTGTAGCCAGGTGGGTTGTAGCCAGGAGGGTTGTAGCCAGGAGGGTTGTAGCCAAGTGGGTTGTAGCCAGGAGTGTTGTAGCCAGGAGGGTTGTAGCCAGGTGGGTTGTAGCCAGGTGGGCTGTAGCCAGGTGGGTTGTAGCCAGGTGGGTTGTAGCCAGGAGGGTTGTAGCCAGGAGGGTTGTAGCCAGGAGGGTTGTAGCCAGGAGGGTTGTAGCCAGGTGGGTTGTAGCCAGGTGGGTTGTAGCCAGGTGGGTTGTAGCCAGGTGGGTTGTAGCCAGGAGGGTTGTAGCCAGGAGGGTTGTAGCCAGGTGGGTTGTAGCCAGGTGGGTTGTAGCCAGGAGGGTTGTAGCCAGGAGGGTTGTAGCCAGGTGGGTTGTAGCCAGGAGGGTTGTAGCCAGGTGGGTTGTAGCCAGGTGGGTTGTAGATAGGTGGGTTGTAGCCAGGCGGGTTGTAGCCAGGCGGGTTGTAGCCAGGTGGGTTGTAGCCAGGCGGGTTGTAGCCAGGAGGGTTGTAGCCAGGTGGGTTGTAGCCAGGAGGGTTGTAGCCAGGTGGGTTGTAGCCAGTAGGGTTGTAGCCAGGTGGGTTGTAGCCAGGTTTGTAGCCAGGAGGTTTGTAGCCAGGAGGGTTGTAGCCAGGTGGGTTGTAGCCAGGCGGGTTGTAGCCAGGAGGGTTGTAGCCAGGTGGGTTGTAGCCAGGTGGGTTGTAGCCAGGCGGGTTGTAGCCAGGAGGTTTGTAGCCAGGTGGGTTGTAGCCAGGCGTGCTGTAGCCAGGCGGGTTGTAGCCAGGAGGGTTGTAGCCAGGTGGGTTGTAGCCAGGAGGGTTGTAGCCAGGTGGGTTGTAGCCAGGAGGGTTGTAGCCAGGTGGGTTGTAGCCAGGAGAGTTGTAGCCAGGTGGGTTGTAGCCAGGCGTGCTGTAGCCAGGTGGACTGTAGCCAGGTGGGTTTTAGCCAGGCGTGCTGTAGCCAGGAGGGTTGTAGCCAGGAGGTTTGTAGCCAGGAGGGTTGTAGCCAGGTGGGTTGTAGCCAGGCGGGTTGTTGCCAGGAGGGTTGTAGCCAGGAGGGTTGTAGCCAGGTGGGTTGTAGCCAGGCGTGCTGTAGCCAGGTGGGTTGTAGCCAGGAGGGTTGTAGCCAGGAGGGTTGTAGCCAGGAGGGTTGTAGCCAGGTGGGTTGTAGCCAGGTGGGTTGTAGCCAGGCGTGCTGTAGCCAAGTGGGTTGTAGCCAGGTGGGTTGTAGCCAGGAGGGTTGTAGCCTGGAGGGATGTAGCCAGGTGGGTTGTAGCCAGGTGGGTTGTAGCCAGGAGGGTTGTAGCCAGGAGGGTTGTAGCCAGGTGGGTTGTAGCCAGGTGGGTTGTAGCCAGGAGGGTTGTAGCCAAGTGGGTTGTAGCCAGGAGGGTTGTAGCCAGGTGGGTTGTAGCCAGGTGGGTTGTAGCCAGGTGGGTTGTAGCCAGGTGGGTTGTAGCCAGGAGGGTTGTAGCCAGGAGGGTTGTAGCCAGGTGGGTTGTAGCCAGGCGGGCTGTAGCCAGGTGGGTTGTAGCCAGGCGTGCTGTAGCCAGGAGAGTTGTAGCCAGGCGGGTTGTAGCCAGGTGGGTTGTAGCCAGGCGGGTTGTAGCCAGGCGGGTTGTAGCCAGGTGGGTTGTAGCCAGGCGGGTTGTAACCAGGCGTGCTGTAGCCAGGCGGGTTGTAGCCAGGTGGGTTGTAGCCAGGCGGGTTGTAGCCAGGCGTGCTGTAGCCAGGCGTGCTGTAGCCAGGCGGGTTGTAGCCAGTAGGGTTGTAGCCAGTAGGATTGTAGCCAGGTGGGTTGTAGCCAGGTGGGTTGTAGCCAGGCGGGTTGTAGCCAGGCGGGTTGTAGCCAGGCGTGCTGTAGCCAGGCGGGTTGTAGCCAGTAGGGTTGTAGCCAGGCGGGTTGTAGCCAGGCGGGTTGTAGCCAGGCGGGTTGTAGCCAGGCGGGTTGTAGCCAGGAGGGTTGTAGCCAGGTGGGTTGTAGCCAGGCGGGTTGTAGCCAGGCGGGTTGTAGCCAGGAGGGTTGTAGCCAGGCGGGTTGTATCCAGGCGGGTTGTAGCCAGGTGGGTTGTAGCCAGGCGGGTTGTAGCCAGGAGGGTTGTAGCCAGGAGTGTTGTAGCCAAGTGGGTTGTAGCCAGGCGGGTTGTAGCCAGGCGGGTTGTAGCCAGGGGGGTTGTAGCCAGGGGGGTTGTAGCCAGGGGGGTTGTAGCCAGGAGGGTTGTAGCCAGGAGGGTTGTAGCCAGGACGGTTGTAGCCAGGCGAGTTGTAGCCAGGAGGGTTGTAGCCAGGAGGGTTGTAGCCAGGAGGGTTGTAGCCAGGCGGGTTGTAGCCAGGCGAGTTGTAGCCAGGAGGGTTG